CCTGTAGAACACCAGGGGACGTTACGGCAATGTTCTGGCAGAGTGACCCAGTAACAGTTCATTAAGTATACTCAGTTTGCTAGCAACTCAAAAGTACCTGATGATCTCAATTTGAACAACTGCTTCAAATAATCTACATAATGTCACTGTTTTTTTACTCAACTTATGAAGTACATCTTGAGCGGTTGGGAAAAGTATTTAAATGAGTTTATGACTGTGGTTTTACTTAAAGTAGCTAAGTCCGTAACTCAATATCATCCAAAATCTTCGACATTGAGAACACAAATTTTTTTGCAATTTAAATCAGCATTGGTGTTGTGGTCATACCTGGAAAAGATGGGCTTCTGATATCCAATATTTAAGACACAATAAACATTTTACCCTTGGTACACGAATCGTGTACCATAATGCGTTTCAGCGCCATTTGTAACAAGGTGCTCAAAGAGTGAGGCTAGACATATTCCACAAGTCATGTCAAACGGTGATGCCATATTCTTATTTGGAGAGCATGCGCAATATATACTATCAGTGTTGACTGGAATAACCAGACAATAGAAACTGTCTTTCGGTTGTGACTTCTGGCGTATTTAGCCGAACATAAGTGATGACAATTCACAGTAAAACGGAAACGATTGAATGTAAAACAGTTTATATAAATTCATATTACATTATTATATGTGTTGCGACCCATTTGTGCCAATTTCTAGGCCCAAAATATTAGCGATTTAGCTCCTTTAAATACAATTGCACATTAGAAAATTGTCACTTTGTCAATCTTCTTCGTTTATTGTGACTATTTTACTGCCTTTGTCATCAGCTGGTTTGATAGTGATATTCCTTGTCATCAGCTGGTTTGATAGTGATTAGCTTGCTTGATAGTGATATTCCTTCTTGTCTGGTTCCTTTATAGTTTGATAGATTCTTTTTCTAATTACTTTCTAATCTTGTTTCAGTTTAGTTTCTCCTCGATCTTCTGTGGTGATGTGTATTAATTCTTCCAACAGGTTTATGTTCGTTTTTTGTGGAGTCAATCAATTTTTTAATGGATTTGGTTGATCTTGTGGTGTGAGCTGATCTTTAAAAAAATGTTTTGAGTGTTAATTTGTTTGCATTGTTTGTTTTTTGTCTTATTTGTGAGTCTGTCTTCTGGGTTTTTATTTGGCTGTGGTGTGGTTCTCCTGCTCTTACTATTAGAATGAAGGAACACCAAACTACAACTGAACAAATAAATGATGTGTGAAATCAAGTAAATCATTCATCAGTTATTAACAACCTGATTAGTAAACGGGAGTATTTCATAAACTAATTGAAATTAACAGAAACAATGATGTAGCATGACACTTTATCTCCTAAATTTAATTACATTCTGTGAATTAAATATAAATGTGATAAAATTTAAACAATTGAAATCCTTAAGCAACTACATGGGGGTTAAGACGCTGGCTCGCTAGTCTGGAGGTCGGGTGTTCGATCCCTGCATTGGCCGAGAAAGTTCATCTGGATATATGAAAATTTGTAGGAATTGGCTCGACCATTTCATTGGTGTATCAGGGGTAGAAACTAACCTGAAATGGTCACTAGCCATTTGGGCTAGTAGCTTTCAGATCTTACTAGCCCAGCCAACATTCTACTAGCCCAATAAGAAACTGACACCAGACTTAAAAATTCTGATTTAGACTGTTGTTTTGTTCATCATTAATCAATCAAAAACACCAAAATACATGCACTTAAATTTATTTTGGCATATTTAATAATACAACTAATAGACTTTGTTCATTGTTGTCTCTGTTTTTTCATCAAATAATGAATTCATTAATCAGTCATGAAGACATATATATTAAAATTCAATTTGGCACATTTCATTTCATATTTCATATTTGTCCTTTGGAAGTTTAATCTTCAATACAATAGATTTTTTAAGGGGCCTCTTTGTATTTATATTTCATTTATGTTTTATAAATTCAGTTGTGATGTGCAAAATAATATGATGTAATGTCCTTAAAATTTAATATCACAAGTTGTCACCAAGTTGTTACGAGTGTCTTCATTGCCGTAATATATCGCTGTTATAAAACCTTTTAACATCCATGTTCTTCGCTAAATTGCTTCATGTATATATATCAACGATTAGGTTAGGCGATTTATGATAATTAACCTGAAATATGACTGAAAAGTTATTCAATTATATCGAATATCGAGGAAAACCCATGAGGTTGGACAGGCGACCCTACTCCTTGTCATGTACAACACTGGAATCGAAACCACGCCAGTTTACTCAATGACAGACCTTATGATACAGCGTGCACATGCTAACAATTCGGCCATCCCCCCTCCACCCCCACCCTCCCACGCGCCTATATAAAGAACTATATATCATCTATATTATTGTCAATCACCATAATTGTGTTATGTGCCATGAGCACATTTTGTGGATATAGCGCTTATTATTATTATGATTACTTTTATTTTCCTTTCTTTTGTTTCTTTCTGCATTTATTTTCCTGTATTGTAACATCACTGACATAATCGCACTGCTAATGTTGTATGTAAATTCAGGACTTCACCAATTGGACATGTATATATATAGCAACCAATGATGTAGTTATTGGAGGTTATGAAAACCTGATGACTATACAGAAGGTTGATATGGAAAATAATCAACCTAAAAAATCAATGTTATTATGGGAGGATAAAGGAAGTTTAATAAACAATATTTTTGAGTGAAATGTCAATTTGTAAATATCATTCCAGTCTTAAAGGCTGATATTACAATTCAAGTAGATCATGATATACCTTCATACCTTATCAATAGACATTTGTATCAATATAGTATATTGACCTGAATGACCAGAATATGCCTCCAGTATCTATTTCAGGCAGGGGCCATAATTTCTAAAATAAAGTTAAACTAGTAGTATGAAGACAGAAATATATGCCATACAGTATGCTATGAGGGAAATATACCCTTAATCAAATACCGAACGTAAACGTGTTTACAGGTCCTCAGATATTTTACCCCATTTAAACCACTAGACACTGCTTCTTGCCAGGCAACATGTCCTCCACCAATGACAAGCGCAACCTGTCCTGCACTAATGACAGGGGGTTGCCAAGCGCAACCTATCCGGAATCAGTGACAAAGGGTTACCAGGCAACATGTCCTCCACCAATGACAAGGGGTTACCAGGCAACCTGTCCTCCACCAATGACAAGGAGTTGCCAGGCAACCTGTCCTGCATCAATGTCCTGGATGAAATTGGAAACATCATGGTTAGTGAGTCTTACTGAGCCACCATGGCTCCAAGTTCAACTTGTATCTTTTACCTTACTGCATATTCATTCTAATAATACAAATACAACTACCCACATTTACTGATGACTGTCGGGCATTACTGACCTAAAAGGTTAATTAATTAATGAAACAATTTGTTCCTTATATAGTAACACTACAGGTATTTAATGATAATCTGATGAACTACTAAGTGTATAAATTGGACAGCTTAAAACCAGAATGACAATGAAAGGACTGCAGGATATATATATAGCTGGTCACAAAATGTGATTCATTCCCAGATTAACTAATAACCAATGGACAGGTTTCATATACCTGTTTAAAGAAGCTGGATGGAGCAGTAATAGTTATGGGGCAAAATCTATGCATTATTTGCTAGATATGTTGAGGTATGTTACTAACTGGAACGGACAGAAAAGGCTCAATTCATGATACACGGAGCTTGATTTCTCAGCTATTAAAGGACGTAATATGGCTCTATTCTTTGGAACTTTAAAATAAATTAAAAAGCACCTATCAATGTAAAGTAAGTTATATTCAATTTGTAAAAAGAAAAAGAATTATTGTAATTTCTAAACAATTATGGTCAGTGAAATATGTGAACAGTAAAATTTAATGTTTTTGTGTGAATCAGCCATTTTTATATTAAAAAAAAATGGTTCCATTGTCTTGTGGGATATGTTTTTACAAATGGCGCTCGATTATTTATTCTGAATAATCTGGATAATATTGAATAAGAGGGTTTACAATAAAATAAACAAGCAATTATATAAACTAACACAGTTTGGATGTTCACGTCCAAACAACCCAATATTTTGAGCTGAAATCTCGAGATACGGAAAATACACCATTCCTCTATATTTTGGCGTTTAAATTTCAGAGTACACAGACTTTTAATTCTGAGACTCTGTTAAAATCGGGATGGTACCTTTAATTATATAGTGGACAAAAAGTAAATTTTATTATTAGATAGTGTCATCAAGACTACTTCTATCTCCAGGTTTATAATTCATAGGAGGACAAATGAATTCTTTTTGCTTTAACATTTACTAATACACAATCGGCCAATTCATGGGCGTTCATCTTATCTTCTCTATATTGAAAATCATTGATGGCGCACGTCCCCATACCCCGACCCGCAGTCAACCTTCCAACGGCTTTGATCACGTCCGAAGTTTTCGCCCGAAATTATAGGCCTACTTGTCAAAATACATATTCATTCTCTTTCTAACAGTTGCTTGCAATTGAAACATGTGCTGATGCTAATCAGTGTTTTCATATACTGGCCGAATCAATGTACAAAGCTACAATGTAAAGTACATGGTAATGTTTAATACAATAGCTGAGATGATTAACCAGTGCACACACGTACAGTATTGTCTAATTGATTCTACTATATGGCTTTACAATGACAAGTCCAGCAAACTTACCAGCTTTATACATATATAATTTATAGTAAAATTTAGACATCGGGCTTACTTTAGTTTCTTATTTAAAACAAATAGTGTAGAATATGTACTGACGAAAAACATTACTTTATTAAAATAATATGTCAATTCAAAATCTTATATGAATGACACAATGGATTTTCACCTGATTCCCAGTGCCATTGTTGTAAAATTGAATATACAAATAAATGCCTTAAAACAACCAAACCGTAACGCATACAAAAAAAAATAAAAATAAAAATTCACAAAATACTACTTACGGATGCCGTCAAAACGGGTTGCTATCGTATCCAAAAATGTGTTTTGAGTTAAAACATGTTTCTTTCCAGGCATGTTGATTTACAATAATTTACATATATAAAATGTCCAATATCTACCCAACAGCTAATTCCAGTAAGTCTATTAATCCCAACATTAAAACCATTTATATTGTTTCTTTATAGCGGTAGTCGCCGTATTAACCTGCTGTCATCTCTACTTAAATACATAGCATGCCACAATGCAAAAAGGTGCTTCCATTAATTACACCACAAATCATCCTTCTGTGCAATATTACTGAATGGAGTCATGACCATAGTATGAGCACATTAAAAAAATATCGAATAACAATTTGTCTAGAAGGAAAACAAAGGCCGTGCCGTATATGCGTTGTTTCACTATTCATATACAGCTCGTAGACCGCGACTTCTGGCATTGACAGGTACATGTCACGTGATCGATGACATCACGATACAGCACGCGCTATGTATGCTATTATTCTATGATAAACCCTGGAACTACTTGCTCCAATAGGTTTATTCTCAATCTACAAAAATCCATTTAAATGACACATTATTATCTCACACGCGATATAAAATCCTTTCAAAAACGGGACAAAGGAAATAAAGGACTTGTTAGGATTTATTGGCAGCGAGACTTTGTCAGAGGTTGTTTATTCCCATGTCTGGGCATTAATCTAATACAAATTCCTGCATAGCTAAACCTAAAACGGTCGTTTGTCCGGTTAAAAGACTTCTTGTATCAACGCAAAGACAATATTGCAGAACACTAAATCAGCCTCGTTACGGATCTAAGTCATAATTTTACTTTGTGCCAAGTGAAAAGAGCCACAAAATATTTTGTAGTAATTCAATTTATCAGTCAACCTAAATAGATATAGAATTGTTAGTCCCTGTATAACATTATTCAACAAGAAAAGATGACCAAAATCAGTTTAATTGCCTATCGATTTTTTTTCAGTTCTGAATAAAATTACATTAATAATTTTTTAAAGTGAAGCACAGACCTAACAATATGCACGGGGTGGTTTATTTCGTGTTTATATCACAAAATTGGGAATTAAATGAGGACGCGTATATTTGTCAATTTTATTCGCCCACATTCTGGGCGTATTATGCCGTCATCCCTATCCGTCTGTCCGTCCGTCCGATACCCGCCAACAATTGGCTTGTGAACATGACAGAGGGCTACACTTGCTACAGTCTTTGAGGTGGTATGAAACAGAGTCAAGAGGAGATAAAAACCTGCCGAAATCACGCGTTCCAAGACCTTCCGCGATATGTTTTTGTGCGTGTCTTTATTAAATTTGATATATTTTACAATCTGACTAGTATTCCGTATAGCAGCAACACGCTTTACAAATAGAATACATGTTCATATAATACATAGAATCAGTGTCATCAACGGAAATCAACTTATAGTGGGTCACTTTTTAAAGCTGTTTTAGAGCCAATAAACACATATTCTGTTTTCTCAGAATTCAACCTTCCCGTTATACAGCTTTTCATGTTGCATTTTGAAAAATCAAAATTATTATTTTCATGTTTAAAAGACCAGTATAACTGCGTGTCATCTGTATATAGATGGAACAGAAGGCCATAGTTCTTGACAATTGAACCGAGGGGTTTAGTATACAGGCTTAATAAAGACGAGAGTATCCTCGTCGGAACGTCGCTCAGTATTAAACTCAGTAATTGTGTACCATAAAATTGTACCTGTGTTAGGCTAAACACAATTGGATCTGTCACAGATCTCTGTGTTACTCATTGTCTTGAATATTGGATATCAGTTAAGCCCATCTTTTCCCGGTAACATCACAACATCAATGTTGATTTAAATAATTCGTGTTTTCAATGTGGAAGACTTTGGATGGTATTGAGTTAGAAACTTAGCTACTTTATCAGTTGTCCAGTAAGAGAAGAATATCACTTTCGATATTAGTATGTATCACACCGAGTTCAAATATATCACTGTTACACCATAATTATGGGTGAGTCCGAATGCCGTAAAATAGTGTAAAACATTAGAGGCCACACTGTTTGTCCGATTGAGATGAAATTAAAAATATATGTCAATGGTCAAACAATCTTGATGAGTTCGACTTTAGGGCGGATCTAGGTCAAAGTTTTCCCCCCTTCAAAATGTGAAATCTGTACAAATTTGTGGAGCTTCTAGATTTTGATGAAACTAAAATTGTATCACATTTATTTTTACTACAAATTAAAAATAAGACTTTTAATAAGATAAGAAGCGAAAGTTTGAAAGGAATGGACCAAATCAATGAGGTATAATTATAGCCGACTTCTTGTTAGTCTGCGTGTACTCTTTTACTGTAACAATCTGTTTCACAGAGATTTTTTAATATCTCTGTTACAGATGACTGTTTCGACACGTGACGTCACATCACGCGGCGTCCATCATTGGCTCAATAGCGCGTGCATTGTTTTCATAAGACGTCACGGATTCGGGCTAAATGGTGAATTTTACTTATTTTAATACCCATTTACACTAAATAGGAAATGATTTTTACCTACAAACAATTCAAACGACTTTATTTATTTTTCTAATAAATGAAAAAAATGTTTCAGAATTTAATTTGTCGAAAGAAAAAAGTTAATATTTTGTAGTCATTAAGTCGCATCGATGTCATCCTTATCAGTGATTGTAGCGGCCAAGCGAATATTCGCTGCGGATCAGTGTGGTACTGTAACTGGTAGGCCTACAGTACGTAAATCCCGAAGCAGACAAATAGGAAACAGTGATCCAATGGGGCTGCAATTCAACTGGGGTGATGTTAGCTGTGATGTTTATCAATTTCCATAATTTTTCTGTAAACGCAAGTGACAAAAGAGCGTATAATACCGACATCCAAACTCTCATTTTAACCACAACTAAACATATCAAGGCCGTATTATATATTGAACTTTCAATCAAATTGACTGACACGTGGCCTCGCTCAAAAGCGGCCTCGCTTCGTACACTCTATCATTTAGCCTCGATTTAAAATTTCCGGGAGTATGACGTCAACGTAACGGTTAATCTCCGCTTGTACGATGCCATTTAAAAATTTAATCAATCAATGAAATCCCGTTTAAATCCAAGCCGAATCCAAGCCATCCGTGGGTCTACAGAGTTGATTTTGTGCTTGTTGTGTAAATAAAGATCTAATTTATAATTTCTATGACATCTGAAGCCTAAATAAAGACTTGCAATAATCAGATTTAGCTCTTGCATAATGTATGTTTAATTAAAGTAATGTGATTATGAAAGTGATCAAGGTTGATAACACCGTCCAATATGACACTTTGCCTGAATATAAAACAAATTGACAATAATTTGATCAGGTTTGAATAATCACAACCCCCTCAAAGGAAGATTGAATTTAATCAGTGAAATATGTTACAGAAATGTAGAGGTAACGTGATTTCATTTAAATACAAAAACCATTAGAAAAATGACACGACAAACCATCAATGATCCCCTGAAGGCCAAATAAATAAATCAGCGAAGACTATTTTACAACGGCTGCTATAGTGATGTCTTCAGATTCAAATCATATTATCCATTTATTCTAAAAGGCAGTGGAAGGCAAAGTAATAGTTATTATTTAATAAACATTGTATTCCATTGAATCGTCGTCACCTGTATATTGACGTGAACTTCGTGTCATAGGATTATTATTCATTTTTATGGTGACAAGTCGACAGAATTGACCCGACAAGTAGACGAAATGATGGCGACGATCGTCGGGTTATTTTGTCGTGTTGGCGGGTTGATTTCGTCGACTTGTCGACTTCTTCATAAGGCGACGATTATGTATTGTTTAATGGTCGAGAGCGAGACATTAAGTAATATATTGTAACAACAAGAGGACCGTCAGGTCCAAGTGTTTTTACAATATATTACACAATGTCTCAGCTCGAGACCATTAAACATCTTAAAATACAGACACTCCGCACGTGCGTTTACAGTGAAATACGTCACTCGAGTCTAATATTTGACAAGGTACGATTGGCAAGTTGCCCGTACGATTATTTGAAATAATGGTACGCCAACATCAAAGGGTGACGTCACATCTGTATTTTAAGACATTTGAATGGCCGCTAACAGCCACCATACATTTTGCTTTTTGTTAACTTCAAGAGCACTTATTTGGTTTCATGAACGCTGACTTGGTCACGGCATTAAATCCGCGCCTCATGGATCCGATTTATAAAAGTTTGACATGTCTAATTTACCATGGTAGGCCTAATGTTAATAGTGGGTTACGACCCATCAGTGATGGGATGGAATAGGGTGGTGGTGGGGGGATAACAACCGAAATAACTATAAATAAATGTAATAAAAGTCCTTTGATTACAGCAGCACAAATTATACAAAATGCAATTTACATTTCACCTCGTTTACTTTTCTCAATCATAAAACCTTTGTAACTGCGTTTGTTGTTGTTTCGATCGTGAAAAACCCTAGTTGACAGCGTATCCGGTTTAACTCGACACTATTTTTAGCCACGCCCTTTATGTGCAACTCGATTTGGTACAAATAATAAGACCACTATTTTCCATTCATTTTATTATTATTATTATACATGTATTTATATAAAATAATAAAAATGAACATGTACATATATCATATGTCTGAATTAATGAGACGTTAAAAACATTTGACAAGAGAAAACTCTTTTTTTATTGATATTTTACTGATGAAGTGAATAATTGTTGAATATATTATACAATTTTAATCAATTTATCCAAATACGGTTATCAATAGTGAATTGTTTATCCTACTGATAAACTATAGACACAGGTGTTATAAACTATAGGCACAGGTGTATAATGCGAAAAGGAAACTCCCACGTCGACTGCAATATTCCCAAACCTACAAATCCATATTCCATAAATGTATGATTATTCGTCGACGATGGAAACCGACAACAAATAATTCTGTGTGTGGACAAGAATTTCTCGTGTGATGTGGGCTAGGCTATATGCCCCCGCTTTTTGGAAATCTGAGAGTTCCCCCCCCCCCCATAATGAAAAGAGAAACGTGCCTGTTTATATCTCTCTTGTCCTGTGGGTTCACATAAAATAAGGTTTATCTTACATGTTAGATGGGTATGTATGTTTACTAAAGATTTCCACTAGGTTACCACTTAATTTCTGAAAAAAAATAATGCTCCGAACCATACTTACGATCTAGCGAAAAATCGATATTATTATGAGAGTTGGGAATACTTGGGAGATACTGATCATACTAATGGGATATATAAAAGGCTTAGCTTTATATAATAATTGATATGATGAAAACACGTAGCCCCGAAGTAAATTAAGCTAAACTACAAGGTTTTCTTGCTACCAATATGCAAGTTATTTTTGATTGATAAAC